TGCTAAAAGCCACTTGACAAGAGCGTAATGGGAAATGTTCTAGTGCTAGTTTGATTATTAGCTTGAAATTGTCGAAAGTTTGAGAGGTTACGAGTGTGTCAAAGTTATCGATAAATAATGATTAAAGTGTAAGATAAGCTATCAATATCAACATGGAATTAATCAGTTATTACGCATTTTTCGAAGAGAGAAAAGTATATTAGGTGACATTTATCGACATGACGTACTACTTGATGTATATTGACAAACTATGAGCATTATGAAGTTGATTAAATTAAATAGAAACCATTGATATCCACATTTATACAGTGTTAGAAACTGTGAAACAGCTTCAAAAAATTATCTACCTGAAAGTATTTTTTAAAAAGAAGCAGTTATAGCTAAAGTTATCGATATTAAATGTGCATCCATATAATGTAACTTATTTATTAAAATCATTTCTTTATTTATTAATAAGCCGCTTACAAATAAAAAATAAATGTATATACATAAATACATTTATTTTTATAATATAAATATTTTTATAATTTAAATAAGTAAACTTATTTATAATTTTAAAAAGGTTTATACTTAGCGCCAGTGAGAAAACTCGTTCTTTAAGAAATACAAAATATCGATTAATACATTTGGTAGATAAGAAGCTTATTTCAAGCTTACTTTTTCTTAATTATTCTTCTATATATTCCCTAGATCAAAAGCTGCTTAAATTGAATTTGATTTCATGCCTTTGATGATGGCTCCAATGTAATTAATTGCTAGCAAATGATATTAAAACGATTTCGATTTAATTAATACTTTGTTGTTTTATGTCGAAAGCCACGAAAACCACAAATTCCCTGAAAATCGTTGCAGAAATAGTTCAGAGTAAGTCGAGTCGAGTGCCGAGAGCCTAATCCGAATGCCGCAAATATTTGTTAGCAAATTTAACAGAGTTCATCGACTAGGGCGATGAAGAGCCCAGAACCACAGCAAATTATTGGCAAGGATTAGCAAAAGTAAATACAAATGAAAAATTGACACAAGTCGACAGCTAGAGAAAACTTCCCTGCAGCAACAGCAACAGTAACAGTAACAACAACGACGTCTAGTACTACAATTTGCTCATCTGGCCAAAAAGTTGGGGAATATTCAGAGGAAACTAAGAGGCAGAGCCCAGAGCCCAGAGCTCAGAGCCAGAAGGTTAATTGCGTTCAAAAAACCACAAAAATCGATAGGAAAATGAGAATAAAGTCAGAATAGCTGCGGTCAAAGCACAGATACAAATTATACACAAATGCAGACACATTTTCAAATACATACACAATTGTACATTCAGTTCGAAATACATGCAGAAAGGGAGACAGAGAGAGAGAAAGAAAACTGAGAGAGATAGCGAGGGAGAATGGCAAATATGCATTTGCCATCACTGAGGAATTTTAATTACTTAAAATGCGCCAAAATCATGAAAAATACACAAAAAAAAAGCAAAATGCGAAAAGGGGCTGCTGTTGGTGTTGAGGGTAGGGTTGGGGGGTGACGTTTATGGCGATGAGCCCTCAAAATGAATGCCAACAAAATGGAAGATGATTCCCCCAGTGGAGCAAAATAGAGAAATAATTTAAAGCAAACAGTAAATTGTTTGTGAGTGAGGGTGCAAGAGAGATAGATAGATAGATGATAGATAGAGAGGTAATTAAACAGAATATTTAAGCAAATCCTGTAACTATATATATGTATATTTGTATTTGGTGTACCAAGTAAATATGAATAAAGCTCAAATAGCATGCTACTTATTTGTACTTTAACATATTAAACACAGAGCTCAACACGTTGTCGTCTCCTTAAAATATATCATTATTTCAATAGTTGATTTATTAATTACATAAATTTGACAACATTAAAAAATGCTAATAATTAAATTAAATTTCGTATTTGCAATTTATTTTTTGCTATTTTTATGTTTACCAATATTATTATTATTTTATTTAAATTTTGTTAGTATTAGTATTTTTAGAAATATGTATTTAATTAAAAATATAATTAGTTTGTAATATTTTTTTGTTATTTAATTTTAATTTTACTTAATTTGACTCACATATATTTCTTTTAGTTTTTGGAGAAAGTAAACATAAATTAAAAAAAAAACAATCTTAATTTGACCATAAGAAATATATATAAAAATTCGAATATGATTTATTTAGTAATATTATTATTATATTCTTGTCAGCCCAAATGTGATGGACATCAATAACAATTTAGACAACAATTTAATATTATATAAATTATATCTAAACCTCAATCCAACGCAAAAAGTTCGAAGTATCGCAGTCAGTGCCACAAGTGAAACCATTTATCAAATAAACTTTGGAGCTGGCCCAAGTATATATTATATATAAATATATATGTATATACGTTATATATATCTTATCACAGCTGCTGTTTGAGTCTAGCCTGTTGCCTAGTTCTTTCGGTGTGTTGGCCCATTTCTTTTCCTGTTTTTTGGCTAGAGCTTGTAGCTAGCAGCTGCACATTTGGCCCACATAAGAAACGAGCTGAAAACGACTTTCGCTATTAACTGCAGCGAGTGCAAAAAAAAAAATCAGTGAAGATGAGAGAAGAAAAAATTGAATATGGCAAAGCGTTTGACCAACATCGGAGCCAAGCAAATGAAAACCAACTACGAATAGCCATGGCCCGGCAATTGCCCGACTTTTACGGCAAACAACTTTTCTTTTTTCCTTGTCATGTCTCTTCAGTCTCTCTCTCTCTCTCTTCTTGCTCTCTCTTTCGCTTTCATTTGTTGGTGGTTCGCTTTAGTCATCGATAGCCGAGAAAAACTATTAGGAAGCAAACCAGTTTGGCAGAGATCTCGATGAGCAAACGCCTTCAATTGCTTCTCTCGTCGGCTCTTTTTGGCACTCAAATTAGCTGCTGGAGGCGCCGACTGCTGCGCACAGTTGATTGAAAAATGTTCAATCAGCTGACACAATGAAAAACACATACATACACAGAGCTTGTTCTTGGGCCTGAGGCGGAAGTGCGTAACTCGTACGATGGTAGGCATTAGACTCAATCTTAAGTATATACTGTTCTAGAAATATAAGCACTACGACTTTATGCATTTACAGTTTCGTAGGGCTAAAAATAATTCGTTAGCTCAATTTCATGAATATTTAGTGAAAGCATTTATCTTAGAAAAACTTGCTGTACTGCATTTATACATAGATACTAAAAATTCAGCTGACAAAAAAAAATTAATATTAATATTAAAATATATAGAAAGAAAATGCTGTTGATTACGAGATAAAATATTAAATTTCTGAATTGAAAATTAATAATTCATTAGACTTAAATTTTCTTTTAGTGATGAAGAAAAATAACAAAAAATTCTAGATTTACATATACATATATTAATATATAATTTAATATGAAATATAATATATAATATAATATATATATAAATTCTAAAAAATACAGTAGTTTACAAAATAAAGTTTTAACTCTCACAATTTGTTTTGCAAATTTTAGCTTCCGCATCAATCTAATGGCTCATTGAAATTCCATTAAGCCACAATTCTTGATGCCCCAAACGATCCAACATTGGGTTCGGGGTCTGTCAAAACGAGCATTTAATACGTTCGAATTTTGACCGCTGTTCGCGCTTAAACATTTGTCGCTGCATGCGTGTGCGTGTGTGGGGGAGTGTATATGTGTCATATGCAGAGGAGAATTTATAGTTTTCTGGGCATCAACTGCTTGCTCGCATATTAAAATGATGATTCAATTTGGTTGCAGTAGCTCGCTCAAAATGGGCTCAAATGCGATCAACTTGAATATTTTAAGCTTTAGGTCAGCGTTTTGGGTGGTTATATGCTCATTTTGATTGATAGGCTTAAGGCTGTCAGTGTGTGTGTGTGTGTGCCTCTGTGTGTGTCTAACAGAGCGTATGTCTGTGTGCGACTGTGTGTGCAATCTCGTTAAGCTGATTTCACTTTGAGCGCTGCCTGCTTTGCTGCTGCACTTTTCCAGTACGCCACGTTTTAGATAAGACTTGCCTCCCCCTGCTGCTCTTGCACCGCTGCTTCGTCCCTCTCTCACTCGCCCTACTCAGACTCACTCTGACATCAGAAAATCATCATTCCAGCATCCGACATTGCATTGAGTTTCAGTTTTTGCTTGGCCTTTTTACAGTCTGAAGTTGGATGATGGATGATGTGGGCATTGGGCTCTGCTGCGTCGTCCTGCGTTGTCCTGCCTTGTTGGCAATTTAAAACTGTTTTTCTCTTTGCTTGTTTGTTTGTGGTATATCAATTTTTGATGTGTTTCTAATATGCTTACGGCTTTTAGAAGTTATGAGAGGCTTTTATGTTGTTTGTTAAATACTCAATAAAGCATTTAAAAATTGTTTTGATGGATTTCATTGGAAATATTGAAGAATTTCTTTAATTCACTTCAAGCTTCCATATCTTCCATATTTTATGACGAATTTTCCAGTCGCTTTTTAGACAGGACCTCAGCTCAACTAGACAGGCCCCTAACGTAAATACAACAGGAGAGTTTCGTACGCAGTTCGTGAACTTTGCAGTTAGAATGAGAGACAAAGAGAGAGAGAGAGAGCGACAAAGAGAAAGAGAGTGAGCGGGAGGGTGCGATTGTGTAGGGTGGGTGGATTGACCGCAGCCG